TGCTCTAGAAGCATTCTTCCTACAAAATAAACTTAACACATGAGACATCAGTGACCATGATGGGGGAGGGCTGGGGATTGAAAGTATATACTCTGTAATAAGCTGAAATGATAGGCCTGGCACACTTAGCACTATTAGCTCCATTTTAGAGATGAAGAAACTGAGGCTGGGATTTTTTTATAAGGTTGCACTGCTAATAAGTAATAAAGCCCAGACTCATGCCCACATCTTCTGGTTCTAAGTCCCATGTGATATCCATAGCATCCTTTGCCACCCAGGTACACTGAACTAGGGCCCTGCTGGAGGCACTGTCTAGACCCAAAGGGACAGTTGATGCTGGGCCCATGGCACTCCAGGGTAGGACTCAGAGCAAGAGTTCACATGGGGTCAGTCTGAGGCCCTCCAACTCATGCCGTGAGCTGACTGTCTACAGGTAAGGCAGACCCCAAAGCCTTCAAAACACTAAGCACACCCGCCCATGTCTCTCCATCCTCCTTTGGGTCACTAAAATGAACCCATGATTTTTTGAGCTGGCCTGACTATAAGATCAACGCCACATTTAACATACCAAGGCCTGTAGAACCACCCTCTAATGACAAACTAAACATTTTGTTTAAGGAGCTGCAACTTCTCAGCTGTTCCCTGGGTGCTAAGTCAGAAGCATGTGAAGATTCTTCCCTTTGTTATTCAAATTGTTGATGGCGTTCAAGGAGATGTTACTATCTTTTTACTCTTCCATCGCTACAAATGTCTTTGCCCAGATAAGAGTGATTTCAGCAAAAGGGTTTAATTAAATATTGCCTGATGCCAGATTACCACTCAGAAGGCAGCGGTGGGTTACATTAAAGGATGAACTTTACTCCCACAGCTGACAGCTGATTAATGTGTTAATTAGAAACCCTGTCCCCCTCCCCCAGTGACTCTAGTCTTAAGCCCAGCAGAATGTATATATTGTGCCCATGTGGGTAACCTCATGGCATACTTTGGCTTTGACTTTGGACGTTTATATAAAAATAAAGGCTCAGTTGCCAACATGAATAGCTTTCTTTCTTTCCAGGGGAAATACAAGATGGAAAGAGTTATAAGAACCAGAAGTCCTGCCTTTCGGTTTTCTTATATCAAGAGCAAGTGATATTTTTGCTGAGGCAGTGTCTTTGGAGCAGTTTAGCGGTGTAGGTTGCCACACATTTATTTCACAGGAAAGGAGTGAATCCATCAGGCCACTGAGCTTATAAGTACTACCCTGGCAGTCAGCCACCAAAATATAAATACTCTAAATGGACTAAAGGAAATGTTCATTTTGTTGTTTAGAATTGGACACATCCCAGGAAGGTAAATTTAATCTTGTTGAGGACTGCTGTTATAGGGTTGAATGGAATACACATTTGTTTATCTCCTTTGTGATCTTTTTGTCTTCCTGGTGATACATTATGTATTTGTGATTCGAAGCATTTCAGCTGTCTTGCTCAATGGCATTGCATTTGCCGATTGTTTGGTCCCCAGATTGGCGTCGTTAAACAGCTTCAGCCTCTGTCCAATCTGGGACCTGTTAGGGAGAGAAGTAAAACTAAAGAGGCCAGATTCCAACAGAAACAAAGCTGGGGTGAAATTAGGGGGAAATCATTCCAGAACCCAGTGAGTTAAGCTCTACACTTCTTAATCTTTATCTTTTAAAAAGTCTTAAGGAACTTTGGTACTTCTTGGCATACAGAGGAAAAATAATGCATCAAAAAGTAAAAAAAGAAATTAAATAAAATTTAAAGCTGTCATTGGAAAAAGAAGGGAAGAATACCTCACAACACCACAATTCAGAAAACCACAGTTTATGAGTCATATGCTGTGTGTTTCATGGATATGCAAATGTTATTTTATTAAAGAGAGAGAGAGACAGTATATATTTTCACCTAACTACCACATCTTAAGTAATCAGCTCAGGCTCTTATGATGAAATATTTCATTACTAGAAGTATGTCATTAGTTAGATGTAGAATGAATGATGGTACTGTGTTTTATTGCCTCACATGATATAGCCATTTGTGCCATAAATTCATTGACCTCATCTTAAAATGATGAGTCCTATAAGACAGATTTGATTCATTATTTCTTAAGTGACAATTTTTTCCTCTAATAATTTTTTCCTTCATCAGAAAGATTGCTTTTCTGTATTTGAGATCAGCATTCTGAATTGAAATGTATTAGGGCAAGGAAACACTCACGCGCGTGCACACACACACACACACACACACACACAAATATACTCACACACTTACGTTACCCAAAACAAGATAGTCATGACTGTCACACTACACGCTACTACGTAAACACTTTGAAATGTTGCAGAAAATCAAGAAGCTGACATCAGGCCTTTGCTTTAAACAGGAAAGTTTGATGAGATAGGATTTTGCTTCTAACTTTGATGTCTGTAATCCTTTTTTCGTGGAAATGGATAAAATATAGTTGAAAATTCTCATTTGATAATTAGGATCTATGAGCATTTGTTATTCGTCAATGAATTATTGACAGTATAGGAAATGAATGAAGATAATTTAAGTTATACTTAGATTATTTTTTTTTACTCCATTTGAAAATATTTATTTGGCTTGAGGAAACAGGAATCCTCTGGAGGCAAATAATTCAATCTGGCAATTTAAAAACCAATTAAGGATTTCAGAAAACTCTTCCCCCTTATGGTTAAAAAATAAGATCCAAAGAAAATATGCCAGAAAATTTGGTATATTATTTTAATTAGTTTAATTCATTGATAATATTTTTTAGTCAATGATTAAAGCAGCTGTTTTTGATCCCTCACTTCAAGTTTATAAATTTACACTTTCGCCTTTCTATGGATGCCTCATATTAAAACAGAAACAGGTGGCTTTATTTCATAATGGAACTTAAATGCCACATCTTTATATATTACCTTTATTAAAATGATCAAGTTTTTAAAATAACAACATACCATGTTTTCACTACCAGTTTACTTAACCTTTCTCTAGATGAGAATTTTGAGGGTCTGATGGCCTCTGTGGGCCTCTTCTCAAGAGAGGCAATTCTGCACTTATTTGTAAACTGGGTATCTTAGTTATGACAAAAACTTCCCTTAATTCTGGAATAAAACACAGAAGTATATTAGCATTGAAAAAAAATTTTTTTTTACCACTTTAACAACTGCTACAGTTTTGATAACTAATTGGAAAGAATGCCTCTGTGATCGTCAAAGGTCGCTCAGCAGTGTTCTCACTCTCCTCAGATTTTTGCAAGAAGTATTTTGAAAGGGCAATTTGATGAGACCAAACAAAAAACCCATGTTCCGTCTCACGCCATCAAGTTTATTACCTGGAAAAATATCCGTGAAAAAAAAAAAGCGAGAAGGAAAAGAGAGGGTTTACACATACAGACCCACATCTGCCGGGCGCATGCTCTCCCGCAGTTGCATGCTAGCATGCCACCACTGTTTACAATCAAGGAAAGCTGAGAGTTAAATGAGATGAGTAATCAAATGCCCAGCATATGTTGTTTCTGCATTGTTTATGTGACCAATCATTATTAAAATTTATCATCTTTTAATTATATCAGTTTACGATAGTTACCAAAAAAAAAAAAAAACAAACCAACACACATTAACAACAGAACAACAGACACCCTCTTCAACAAAGCAGGGTTTCATTTACAACAATATTGGAACCAGTGCTTTATTGGGGGAGAGACTTGAATTCAATAAACTCACCATTGCACTGTGTTTCACAATTCCTCTTCTGCTGCTTTATGGCTTGAATGCTAAGAAAATGACCAAAAAGGGAAAAAAAAAGAATAAGAAAAAGAAAAAAGATTGTGTGTGTAAAATTCTGTCAAAAAAAGTAAGGCACTGAAAGAACTATTGAAAATTTTGACATCTGTTTATCTGTTTATAGCTATGGCAAGATTACTCATATTAATTCTTGTTTAAAATGCCATATGAAGGAAAGACATTTGTGCAAACAAGAGTCATATTTGAATTGTAGATCATGTCTTCACCATCTGTGAGAGCTGATGGTGTTGCAAAATTAATGTGTTAATGAAATCACAATAATTTCTCCAAAGTAATGGGTTCTGAAGCTGAGAATGAGTATTTTTTGAACTTTGATGTCTAGTGACTTCCAATTGGGAAAAGCTCTCAGCCTTTAATTAGTTCTGCAGCCCAACTTTAAAATAAATTTGGTGATGTCTTTCTTTTGCCAGTAGTAGATCTGAAAGGGGGAAAAAGCCATAACAACTTTTGGAAAATGTTCTCTGGTGTTTGAAAAGTTGTTAAATAAGACTGCCTGCCAAGAAATGTCACCAAAAATTCTGACTACCGAGAGAGAGTGGGCAAACAGCTCAAAAAATAATTCTAGCTTGCTGCAACATCACAGGTTGGGAATAGCTAAACCTCACACAGACTTCATGATTAATTCCAAGTTTCTTCTTGGAAGCCAGACATAATGATGTTCAGTGCTTTGTGTTATTGGTTAACACAGCACACCCTTTCCAACTGCATTATCGAACACAGTCAATAGCATAAAGTGACTTTGCATGAGGAGAATTTTAAGGGGTTATGTTTCAAGCCCATTGGACTTTCTGGAGAATCCTTCCCTTCAGAACTATTTAGATTTGCATTTACAATGAGCCTCTTTGACAAGTGAAAATATGTGGGCACGTATATTGGACAGGTATATGTATTCCTTTTTCTGAGAACCATCTTTAAGTCCTGCTTAAGGACAACACAATTCCTTTAAAAAAAAAAAAGAAAAGAAAAAAAAATAAGAAGTTTTGATAATTGCTATCCTGAAGAGTTTATATTTATAAGGCAAACCCATCGTTTTACAAACATTTGGGAATTTTACCTTTTAGAAGGAAACACTTCAGCCTGTTTGAAAATTTGTGATAAAGTTTGAAAGAACCTTTATGTGAAACATGAAACACCATCTATCCAGGGAAATTGCTTATCTTACCTGTTGTGGTTTTTTATTGCTGTGTTGTAGGTATGTGACTGGTGTAAGCACATAAGACACACAAAAGAATACCTGGATTTTGGGGACGGGGAAAGAAGGCTTCAGTTCTGCAGTGCAAAATGTCTCAATCAATACAAAATGGACATTTTCTACAAAGAGACACAGGCCAATCTTCCAGCTGGGCTGTGCAGCACATTACACCCTCCCATGGAAAATAAAGCAGAAGGCACCGGGGTGCAGCTGCTCACTCCAGACTCTTGGAATATCCCGCTAACAGATGCTCGGAGGAAGGCCCCCTCCCCGGTGGCTGCAGCTGGCCAAAGCCAGGGCCCTGGCCCGTCGGCGTCCACCACCGTCTCTCCATCTGACACTGCCAACTGCTCTGTCACTAAAATCCCCACGCCAGTGCCCAAGTCCATTCCCATCAGCGAGACTCCAAACATCCCTCCTGTCTCCGTCCAGCCACCTGCAAGCATCGGGCCTCCCCTTGGCGTCCCGCCTCGCAGCCCTCCCATGGTGATGACCAACCGCGGCCCGGTGCCGCTGCCCATCTTCATGGAGCAGCAGATCATGCAGCAGATCCGCCCGCCCTTCATCCGCGGGCCGCCGCACCACGCCTCCAACCCCAACAGCCCCCTGTCCAACCCCATGCTCCCCGGCATTGGGCCCCCTCCCGGCGGCCCCAGGAACCTGGGCCCCACTTCCAGCCCCATGCACCGGCCCATGCTTTCGCCCCACATCCACCCCCCGAGCACCCCCACCATGCCTGGGAACCCGCCGGGCCTGCTGCCTCCGCCGCCACCGGGTGCGCCCTTGCCCAGCCTTCCCTTCCCGCCGGTGAGCATGATGCCAAACGGCCCGATGCCGGTGCCCCAGATGATGAATTTCGGGCTGCCGTCGCTCGCGCCGCTGGTGCCGCCCCCCACCCTGCTCGTGCCATACCCCGTGATCGTGCCCCTGCCCGTGCCCATCCCCATCCCTATTCCTATCCCTCACGTCAACGATTCCAAGCCCCCCAACGGGTTCTCCAGCAATGGGGAGAACTTCATTCCGAGCGCCCCTGGCGACTCCTCGGCGGCGGGAGGCAAGCCAGGCGGACACTCCCTGTCCCCCCGGGACTCCAAGCAGGGCTCGTCCAAGCCCGCGGACTCGCCGCCCGGCTGTTCGGGCCAGGCCCTGAGCCTGGCACCCGCGCCCGCGCCCGCGGAGCACGGCCGGAGCGAGGTGGTGGACCTGACGCGCCGCGCCGGCAGCCCCCCGGGCGCGGGCGGCCCGCTCGGCTTCCCCGGCGTGCTGCAGGGCCCGCAGGACGGCGTCATCGACCTGACCGTGGGCCACCGGGCCCGGCTGCACAACGTGATCCACCGCGCGCTGCACTCGCACGTCAAGGCGGAGCGCGAGCCGGGCGCCGCGGAGCGCAGGACCTGCGGCGGCTGCAGGGACGGCCACTGCAGCCCGCCCGCCGCTGGCGACCCCGGCCCGGGCGCCCCAGCGGGCCCCGAGGCCGCCGCGGCCTGCAACGTCATCGTGAACGGCACGCGCGGCGCCGCCGCCGAGGGCGCCAAGGGCGCGGAGCCGCCGCCGGAGCAGCCGCCGCCGCCGCCCGCGCCCCCGAAGAAGCTGCTGTCGCCCGAGGAGCCCGCGGTGAGCGAGCTGGAGTCGGTCAAGGAGAACAACTGTGCTTCCAACTGCCACCTGGACGGGGAGGCGGCCAAAAAGCTGATAGGTGAGGAGGCCCTGGTGGGGGGCGACAAGTCAGACCCGAACCTTAATAACCCCGCGGACGAGGACCACGCCTACGCTCTGCGGATGCTGCCCAAGACCGGCTGCGTGATCCAGCCTGTGCCAAAACCCGCGGAGAAGGCTGCCATGGCGCCGTGCATCATCTCCTCGCCCATGCTGAGCGCCGGGCCCGAGGACCTGGAGCCGCCGCTCAAAAGGAGGTGCCTCCGAATTAGAAATCAGAATAAGTAAAAGGTTTGTATGTCCACCGGGCGCTCCTCCACACCAGCCAGTGCACCTCTCCTTGCTTCTTACAGGGCAGAGGCGAGAGCTGTATGAGAAATCCTGGTTTTGCCTTACGTGTTTTACGGTACACCTTGTGTGGTCACATACTGTCAACATTTGATCCAACAGCTATGACACTGAGCAGTTGTTTCAGTAGCATCATTCCCATTTTGCGGCTGAGGAAACCAAGCGACAGCGTGTAAGTGCCATGCCCCAGGTCACTTAAGGGTGTCAGTCTTGACCCTGTTGTGAAACACCATCTTCTTAATTACACTTTTATTTTTATTATTAGGCTCATCTCTGTAATTCACCCTTTCGGAGAAGGGAAGGATGTGGGAAGGAAGGAGAGATTACTCGGGACACCTAACTGTTCAGTCATGAGGTTGCAGGACAGTGGTAAAAGGCTCAGTAAACCCATGAGCTGGGCCACCTCCTAGAGCTGGTAGCCTCACTGGCAGAGTGTCCCAACTCACCATAATTTCCTGATAACCATGGGATTCCATTTGTAAAATGAGAATAAATATGAACCTTCTTACATGCATATGCCTAGTAAACCCAGGCCACTAAGCCGCATTTGCCTGGCAAGCTGTTGGAATATCAGCTCACAGCTCCTGTTCATGGTGTCTCTTCCTGCAGTTTGGCCCCAACCAGCATTCCCAGGGTAGGCCTCAAGCACCAGTGGCCACCTTTGCTTTCTCCCCCTTTGGGGGCTCAGCGGCTCAGCAGCTCAGCTGTGGGTGGCTCACCTCTGCAGACAGTGTGAGGCTTTAGTAGGGCAAAGGGCACAGTGTTGCTAAAGTGGTTGACAATGCATATCTCAGACCTTATAGGGAGGATCCTGCTTAATGCCAAGTGAGCCACTGGTAGACAAAATTTCAATGAAGGTAAGAGGAACTAGTAGTATATGTGCCTTGTAGCCAGATGTGCCCTCATTTGCTCCTCTCATCACTCCTGGTGGACTAGGCATCATGCACATCTTAGAAGGGGATAGATGAGGCTTAGAAACCTTCCCCAAATCAGCGCTGGGAAGTGGGGGAACCAGAATTCAACTCAGGCCTATGAGCCCCAGAGTGTGTGCTTTCCCCCATCCGAGTGCGCAGCAAACAGACCAAACTTCTGTTGGGTTTATTAGCAGTTTATGGAGAGAACGAGGAGAGAGATACACACTTACTGTGCACCTGGCTTGTGCACTGCTCTGTTTGGGGGTTGAAGAGAGGCAAAGGTGAACATGATGCTGTGCCTTAATGCACTTTACTGTCTGGTGGGGACACAAACCCTGGGAAGGAGGCCTGGGCTAGGAGAGGCAGACCTCTGAGCATCAATAATTGCTCATATTTGTGTGTACAGTCTCTCTTCTAAGTGTTTTTCAGTAGTGTTTATTTGGATCTGGACCCATAGGACAGTTACTATCTTCCTTTTACTGATGAGGAAACCAAGACAGAGAAATTAAATAACTTGCCCAAGTTAGTCAGCAGAACTAAGATTCAAATCCAGGCTATCTGACTCCCAGAGCTACATTTTCTTTAAACCAGTGTAGGAGAATAGGCTAATTAGTTTCTTTATTACCCTACTTCCTAAAATTCTTTTATCCTCCTCAGTTGTCTTGGAAAGTTCCTAAAAACAAAACGAAACCTAGTTTTAAAAAACTGAGCCTACCTACCAACTTCTCTAAGTCTTCAGACAGTGTTTAAATCTTGTTTTTACAGTAAGAACTGTAAACTGTATTACCAACCCATTATTCTTCAGCGGGAAATGTAAGCATGAAGTGTAACACTTGATGTGGTGTGTCCAGCCTTTTGTCTCCAAGTTGGCCTATTTACATGGGCCCCTACGTTATGGCCAGAGGTTTGCTCAGGAAGCACAGAACCAAAGCAAGACTTGTTGGGAGGTGCAAGAAAGGTTTCTCAGCCACCAAAGTTTGAGGTTCCCTTTTCCACTGATGGCTTTGCCAGTAGGAGCAGAACACTAAAAATGAGTTCACCGTTCCTTCCTGATTTTACATCTACAAGTTCTGCTGTGCTGAAGACAGATGGTCTTAGCCTTCTCACAGTCACCTCAATTGAAAATGCCCCTGATTTCTTCACAAGAGTAATTTAATCTGGTTGACAAAGCTTTGAGTAATGGGAAAGTGTGTGACAAAAAGTGGCGGCCTTCAGAAAGTCAGAAAGCATTGGGAATTGCCATTTTAAACACATTCTAAAGTCACTGATTCAAATGACATTAAAGAGAGGGTGAAAGATTTTACTCCTATCACTGGAGTGAGAAGTGACCCGGGTCAAGAATAGTGATGCTAGCCCGTAAGTAGCATAGGACTGAAAGAACATAAAAACATAAAATATATGATGGCTATTTGGATGATATATGTTTCTGAATAGAGAATCAGGCTGGGGTCTTGTATGTGGACCAGAAGCATTACTAAAAATATTAACCCAGCTTCAGCCAATTTCAGATGATGCAGTGATGAAATTGCCCAATACCTCTTGAGATTGGAGAGTTCATTTTCTGATGAGTCCCCCAAGAAATTACAGCTTTTCTGTAAAGTCAGAAATATTCAGGCTTTGTCAGCCACAGAGGGGTGACAAGGCAAGTGATTTAGGATGGGGGAAGAACCACCACTCTGCCACTAAATAACATTTTCTCCTGCCCTCAGTCGCTCCATGTCACCTCACAGTGCAGTCTCAACCTGCCATAATTTACTCACATCCTCTGGCCCTTCCTGATTTTCCTGCACATGTGATGCTGTTTTTCTTCTATGCCTTTAGAAACACAGACCATTCATATGGTCAGGGGAATTGGAAATGCATCCATTAAATAAAGGACTGCATGGCTTTTGTGCCCTGTTGGTGAGCACTGTTTGGTGATGAGTTAGAGCCAAAGTGGAAAGCATTAAAAACCAAAAGCAAAACTCAGGCTGAGATGTGGTGGGTGAGGTGCAGGTGAGTGATTTCTCCATGTGCTTGTTGGTGATTCATTATATTATTTCACAGAGGAGAGTCTGTCAGTAACTTCAGTCAGTGTTCTTCATTCTTCCCACTGTCTGCCTTTCTCATACTGTCTTACTATTTTAAAAAATCATTTAAAATAGATCCAAAGCAGACAAAAGTATCATAAAATCAGCAACCCAGGCAGGTACAATTGTCTTCAAGGAAGTCATCATATTTGCTAGTTCTTTGCAAATTGTAGGGTTTTTTGTTGTTGTTGTTCCATGTTGAAATTATTCTGTTCCTGGTTACCTAACTTTATGCATTCTTGTTTGTTGACATAATTACAAATGATTTCAATGGACAGATATTGTCCCCAGATGCAGAACTAATTAAGTTTAGCTGAAGATTTTAAAAGGTTGTAAACTCCTTTTAATCTTCAACTTTTAAGACTCCAAATACCATTTCTGCAGCTTCTGTAAACTAGGAAAAAGAAATCGCCCCCAAATAATAAGGAAAACAATATATAAACATTTTCCAAACTATTCTATCCACAAAAATTCCATTTATAAATGGAATACTCCCTCTTTGTCTTTGCCTGGGAACTTGGGGGATAGCTGTTTGTATTTGTACATTTTCTGAATTTCTACAGTTTATACTTGTTTATGGTACATTGGAGAGTTCAGATTAACCATTTGCAAATGTTTGAAGATATTCAAAAGAAAATATTCCCCCTCATCAATTTTCCAGGGAAATGACATATTCTCTTTAAGTAAAATAATCAATGGAAAAAATGTGTGCTAGGAGTAACCCTTTCGCCCTTACTTTTTCCATTCTTAAGGAGCAATAGGTCCATACAACATCCCACCTTTGTGGCTCCCAAATTTCTTATATGTTTCTAAAACCAGACAGAAAATATGAGACTCTTCCCTGGTCTCAATTCCATGATGCCACTCCAAGATCAGCAGGGGAGTTTGACTTTTTATTTTCTCGGGGTGCCTCTGTAGTTTTGGCTTCTTGGAATTTAATTATTATTTTCTGGTCATGGAGCCACAGTCCCAAAAACAACTGTTTCAAGACAAGGGTTCACCTTACTGGGAAAGCCTAAAAGGTGGAGGTGACAAGTAACTTTTACCAATTTAGTTTCTAAGACTGAGAGAGAGTTGGGAAGGAGGTTGAGAAGTAAGTCCATACATTCAAAACCATACTGTGGGTGCCCACTTTTAAAGCAAGGAAAAGAACGAAAACTGAGAATGAGAAGAAGAAATCGGTGTGAATGGAATGTGTTTAGATCCTATGCCAGACTTGAGCTAGCTAATGGTTCAGTACTTGATCATTGGAAATGTTACTTGGTGACAATCCCTAAGTTAAAGGTTAGCCTGTCTATCAGGTTGCAGTTGGTGCCTATAGTTCTAGGTAGAGGTACTTCAAAGCGCCAGCGAGAAGTCACCAGGTCTGCATCATGCACATATGTGAGTGGGTAGGACCTGGGAGAGTGCTTTCTGTGACCATTTCAGACTTGTAAAGTTCTCTGGAATGAATGGTGTCAAGATGGGCCTTAGACATGCCCCATTCAATGCTGCTGGCTCCATGTTAACCCTTACCACTAGGGGTTTGAGGGGAGGATTTTAATGCGCAAACATCTGATTTTTGGATATTATGTCAATCAGATTATGATGGAATATGAAATGACATATGTGACCGAGTATTTATTGCTTTCGGATGTACCCATAACCTTCCAACTTCAGCAGGGCTGGGACTTGGGTTGGGCCAGAGGGCTGCTTAGTGCCAGACTTTCAAGAGGGACTCACTTGGGGTTGTGCTGGTGCAGCACTGGTCCTAGCTCCGGTCTCCAGACCTTCTGATCCATGTGGCAGTTCCCTAATGCTGATCTCCTGGCCCCCTGGACTTGTCCATGGTTGGCTTTCAGCAGCTCCCCCTGGAATTTCATGGGAAGTTTTATGTGCTTATGCACAGAGGCATTTTCATGGGAGGAGAGATCCATAGCTTTTGGTTCAGAAAAAGTATGCTCTATATCTCTGAAGGATT